TGACTTTTCTTTAATAATTAACTGAAAAACAGCCAAGTGAGTTGTTTCTAGAAGTTTCTAGAATAATGTAATTCACATATTTTGACATTATTTAGAAAGAAATGTGTTTGAAAAAAATTGAGTAGTTTACGGAAATCACGTAAACTACCCTGGATCCACCCTTGGACTGTATATCAGCACTTGAATGATTATTTAATACACTTTTCATGTGGGCCTGGATGTGTTTGTGGTGCCCCCGCCACACTGTTTCAATTATATATCACAAACTCCTTGTCATCACCATTCGCGATGTCAATTTAATTATTCTCATGCTTGAGGTTAATTGGAAAACTAATTTAAACTGTGTCTGCTGATTGCATTTATATGCGCAACCATTTGCATCTCAAGAACACTAACGTTTTGAGTAGCATTGAGCAACACTTGTGCACGCAGCGTGTTACTTGGTTTCAGATTTTAGATTTTAGTTATCCGACCGACAACTCTTATAACTGAGATAGGTGTAAGCAGAAGATTTGAGCACCTAGTCGCAGCTTTACATTCAGCTATGATACTGCGTTGCCGAGGAGGATCCGTGGGGGGGTGAATTGGGTGACTAGTGACTAGACAACCCCCTTTGCACTTGAAAAATAATATAAGAATAAAGGATAAGGTAAGACCTCAAAAGGATGCTATGTGATGCCTTTCTAGGTAACAGTCGCCTCCCTTGAAATCGTTCTGGATCCGACACCGCTTTGCTACAAAACATTTCAATATAGCGCGCCTGGGTATCCTGGAAAACTAGAAAACTAGAAGTTCATAATGACATAGAAAATCGTCTTAAATGGAGCAAAACTCAAACCGTATTTGAGCCTAATATTATACAACAGAGGACCCAAGGCAAACGACAGCAATGATATCCTAATGAAACTCCCATCTTCAAACTCAACTTGCTATGCAATAAATATAATTGACTTTGCACTCAAATTTGTCCTTACCTTAGATTTTTACCGAGATTTTCCGCGCTAACTTGTTTCAGGAATCTATCATGGTATTCTTCGTAGTCTGCTTTGTGTTGATTCTTTGATGCATTTTCTAGGTCAGGATCGTTGGCGTGTTTAAAGGCGAAAAACCCAATCAAAAACCCGATAAAAAAGATTACAACTGCTAAAAACACACCACAGAATATAATTCTTTTCTTAGGGAAGGTCTGGATTCGTGTATCGGAAATTTCGCATTCCATTTTTAAGAGAACTCGAAGATTAAGCTGATACTAAGGCGGAAAGGATGGTCATTGTGCTAGAGTTATGGATGTTTTTGATTAACACCTGGTTTTTTTAAACAATAAGCGCCCGAGGCGAGGACGGCTACACTGATATATAATCTAGTTATGTACTTTCTTTCAAAGACCAATTTTACAATTATCAACCGGGAAATCTACGTTTAATGAAAAGTGCCGCTACTGCCTACGCTATTCGTCCAAATAAATACACACACCAGAAGCAATATGAGTGTAATAAATAACATGAATAACATGATGTACAAACAATAGACAAACTGTTACCTTAGGTCGGGGGGCAATTTATTAGTTATCGCATATTAGAGTCGTGTTTGAAAGAACAATGACAGTGTTTCACTTTTTGTACGCCGTGCAAATGAAAAACAAGCTAAACAATTAGGCCTAATTGCCCGCTAGTCTCTGAAATGGAAAACCTTCTTCAGAATTCGTTTGCTTCAGTTTATTAGATTTTACAGTAACTGGTTTAACTCTGATTCTAGACCGTACATAGGAGTACAGCACATGTCATCTTTAGGTAGTATTCATAAAATGATAGGCGGTGTTGTATATCGGTGGATATAGATATGTCCTAGTTTGTGTTATATATACACCTACTTGCAAGAACGTTGTCATACGATATTAGAACATTAGTAATTTAGTGAGAAAGGAATGTATTAAAAGACAAAAGAAAAAGTTCAGCTTCAGCGATCTTTTTTTGTCTTTTTAATATAATTCCTATCCCACTAAATCACTGTTCTGTTTTCGTATGACAACGTTCTTGCATGTAGGTGTATATACTTATTTCAATAAAGTTAGTCACCAGAAACCTAAAAAGCTGAGATCACTGAGCATCATGGGAAACAATTCATTTCAAACAAGTACAGCTTTTTCGATACAAACTGCAGCTTGAGGATGCTCATAGGTGAGACTGTAACTGGTAAAAGATCTCAAGCCCATCAACAGTTATCAAGCGGTTGAAACATGTAAAATGTATCTACCCATAATCCTTGTCGGCCTCAGCTTTATAGCTTTTGAGGTGACTAACTTTAATAAAAATAGAGCTCATGTAATTAGTTTTAGTCAGAGTGAAGAGAAAGTAGAATAAAGATCCCGAGTAGCTCTACCGAGAGAAGTCCATCCCATAACATAAGTATATGCTATAAAGAAAATTAACAGTCGATGACCTCTTCTCACTTTCGAAAAGTGCTTCTCCCCTCCCCCTTCCCCTCCAACATATTTTTAAGTCCACCGTCCCTGGCCAGGCGAGTATCATTTATTATATACCAGATACAAAAACGGACTCAAATTTTATAAACTACTGCTGAAACTCATTTTAATTCCACTCATTATTAAGTTATGGAACGGTAAAGATTTTAAATCTCGATGTTTTGGATTATTAATGGATTCTACTTTTGTTGATTGAACAAAATACCTTTTCACATGCGGGAGAGAGTCTCAAGGGAATGGAAGCACTCGATTCATGTATTGTAATATATTTTACATAACGCTTTCAGTCAGGTTTCGTGAGCTCACAGCGAAACGGTTGAACAGGAGCGCTATGTCCTACAAGCAAAAAATAAAAAATACCCGACTGAAGAACACAGTCTTCTCTTGAAGCTAGCGTTCCAGCGACAGCAATGCATACCACAAAATTGGGAAGACACAAATTCTTGGCGAATGGCAGCCGTCAAGTCAACAACATTGTGATCCGTTGATGAGAGGGTATCAGGTGTGTATTCAATATAAAGTCTTTCATCTGTTGAATTGAAATGGTAGCTTAAAGTTAGAAGACAACCTGCCTGATTTAAGTCTGAACTTTTGGTTAACAGGAATTCGTGTTGCAGAAAAGAATAAAGTACGTACGATATCCTTCCAAAGCTTTGAATCTTCATTGCTAGAGTTGGAAACACATAATAACTGGACTGAGCAAGCAAGACCACAGGTAAATGATTTCAATTCAGTGATTCATAAATGATATACAAGCATAGCACTTCGAATAACTCAGTTATTTATCTAAAAGAAAGACATTTTGAGGTCAATAAATATACTAATCTACAGCTAAATCTCCTTTTATACACTCAATTGCAAAATAATCATTGCCGAGTTAAAAACAAAACTCGGAAGCCGAGAAAGCAAGGTATGCTGGGAAATTACATAATTATCCTCTGATGTATTCATTTGAGA